TATTTCACACATCAGTATAGCCAGGATGGAGTAGCCTAGGGTGGGAGTGGGATGGGAGAGAAAGCTGAACACACCGTGCTGGCGCACGGAATGAACCAAGCCTTTTTAATGAAAGTTTATTGCAAATTTTAGCCTCAAGGCTGATTGGAAACAAGAGAGTGATATAGAAATAACAGGGCTCGAAATATTTTTTGTGCATAACTGCACTGATTCAGGTAATATTGGAAATAATCTACATTCTTCAGTTTCTTCATTTTTAAGCTGTAATTTCTTGTATTTGTATGTTAAAGAGTGCAAAATTCTACACAAAGCACGCAGACAGACACACCAAAACAAAACCACCATTTTAACAAAGGTGGACAGCTCCTTCTGATTCAGGATGTTGATGGTATGCTGTTAAGACTCCTACAAAATGTTCTTGCAATTACCTCTGAAGGATGTTGACATTCCTGGAAGACACAAAGAGACTCTTATGTGAAGAAGAGCACCAGCTGCAGGTGTGAATTGTTCAGTCACATTTTTTTCTTAACCCTCACCTGTTTTCCTACAGATTGGCAAATTTTCAAACCATCTGAAACATTATTTCATGCATTGTAGAAGCAATTTTTTTTGAGGGAAATATTTTTCCCCTCCCAACAGGCAAACAGCTAATGCATTTCAAACAAACTGTATTTGTTGAATCAGCCAAAATGTACTAACCCTATTTCTGAAATCAGAAATAATTTTTTGCAAGGCCTTATATGTTGTAATTATATAAAACACAAGATTTCCACAGCTTTCACTGTTTGAGTCAAGCAATCCTTTAATTTCTCCCTATCCATATTGTCCCAGTCAGTTCAAATCGGAATTCGATCACATCCTGTGTCAGGATCTTTCCATCACGATTCCCAGTGAAATTCAACATGGCCTGTGGCCATTTCCCACAGACCCCATAGAATTTGTTACATTGAAAATATATTGGCAACAAGTTGTATACATTATGTAACCTACAGTTTACTGGACTGTCCAATGTCAAGTCCCAACAGTGACTTGAAATATCCTCATTCAAGGTCTAGCTTTGAATACTAAATTTTATTGTCTTGCATAGTGCTATATAAGGTGTTCATGGTTCATCCAGCTAATAATTTGTCCTTTGGAAATGTCCATTTCTAGGCCTCAGTACTCTGATGTTAATGAATGGATTTAGAAAATACTGTACATGGATGATCAAAACTGGATGATCAAAATGAAAAGGAAATAATGCCATAATGGCAATTATTTCTCTCACAAACAGTTTTTACTATGATCCATACTTTGTAATAACTTCTGAGTAGTACATGTAAAACTTGTCTGGTGCAGGTAATTTTCAATGTTTCCTGTACTAGTGCAGGTATGCAGAAAAAAGTATTTTGAGTCCTGAGTTACGATGTACCTCCTGAATCTAGTTCTAACCTCCCCTATCAGTTGTACAACCCAGCCAACACGGAGCGGGACTCAACTCTCGATGTTGATGAAGATTAGGACGAAGCAAACCGGACCATTACTCAAAAGTTATCGACTTAATAGCACTTGTATGGCGTGAGCAGGCGCCAGTAACGTGCCACCTTACTTTGTATTCTAGATAAGATCCACACCCGGCATTAAGGCCCCATCAGTATTAAACTATTTACTCAGATTTAGCACTTTGCCATCCTTACAGAGGGAGATAGCCTTAATTGCGCTGCCGGATCAATACCCGTGTCTTATCAAAGTTGTCTTCCTTGTAAGTCGGGGAGTATCTGCGCTGATACCACGTAATTCCTGTGGCACCGACGGTTAAGATTCTTTTGAAGTGATTCCCATTTGCCCCCTGATGCACGCGGGAAATAGATTCGGGGGCTTGTACAACTTTGTCCTAATCCGCCGAGCCGCCGGCCGCACTCGTGTCCGGTGGCGTTTGAAAGTCGTGATCAGGATATAATGGTCGACATTGGGCTGGCGGCCCCAGATTTAAACTACATTTGGCACAGCCAGCAGATAGAGCAAGGTTTAATGTTAGGGTGTACTTGGAACTTAATGCGGAAGGAAATTTTACGTCTTGTGTGGAACGAATTCAGCTTCTTGATTTAAAGATACTTCTCTCTGAATGTCCAGTCACCAAGTAAGGTTTATACCCTAATTTAACACATCAAGATATAAAATACATTTTTGCACTTAGCTACTAGCAGATTAGACTATGATCATTTATTTGCTTCAAAAAGGACAATCACTTATAGCCAATTGTTTTAGCAAATAAGGCAATATCATGTTATGGTCCTAATAACTACCTTGTTTGCTTGGAGCATGTATGATATGATAATCCTATAAGTTTCATATTATCCAATGATTTCTAGTAGTATTTGAATATTTCTGAGCTCATGGCCAGGCAAATTCTATGGCTTGTCTAAGTTATAAACAGACCCACTTTCACTGAAAATATTAAAAAACACAGATTGTTGAACCTCATAAAATGCCCTTTGAAATTCGTGTGCATTGTAAAATAACACATTCAAACAAAGTGTTTGTGAATAAATTGTCAAGTACAACAAACACCATATTTCAAACCCCCAAGATCATAACAAAATAGTATCTAGAAATCCATGTCCTTGGTGGTGGCTGCTCACATGTGTTCTCTAATATTGAGTCACCTTCATTAGACCATATGCATGTAATATTGTAAGTCCATTTTGACCATGACATCCAATCTAAAAAAAAACGAAAAAAAGTTCAGTTGTTTCAAAGTTTTCCATGAGTCAGAGGCAGGCCGAGGCAAGACGCATGGTCAGTTTATCAGAGCAGATCTATAGTTTTCAATTATGCATTGACTTTAGTAACTTGAAATTGCAATTAAAGCACTCGAGAGCCGGCCCTGGAAAAAAGTTAATGCCCCGGCGGCGCTGCGTATCAGAGACACTCAATAACCGTGATGAATTGGCAGTAGACCTTGTCCCTTGATCAAGACCCCCAGCTTCCACCCCAGCCTTCATATCACCTCCAAAATATGATCCTAATGACAGGAAAAATTAATGTGGACCCGAAATATTCGCCAGAATTTATTGGATTAAATCGCCTCAAAAATTTCCAAATGAAGTCGTTTGACCCTTGCGGGAAGCGTTGCATCGTGCCGTGTCCGTAATTCGGCCGGTAATCTCATAACTTGCATCATTAAGAACTTCTGGGATCTCAGCGAGTGGCCTTTATTAAATTGCATTAATAATAGGCGTGTAATTGTATTAAAAATTAATGGCAGAGTATGCATAATTCAATTTGCCCCATTGGCCATTTGAGCCGGGGTTTGCCCTGCCAAGTGGACCGCCGGGCAGGAAGACAAAAGAGGAAACAGAAAGGAAGAACTACAAAATCTTTACACTTCACTCAAGCAGACTGTTCTCGTAAGAAATGCTCTCAAGGTTTCCCAAAACACAGATTATTAGGTTCTTTTTTTCATTTCTTTGCTGAAACTTTTGTTAAAACTCGTCGAAGGTGCCAGCCATGACCAGACTGTTGCCGATCGATATTGTCTATCATTGATCGCGAGAGGGTCCGCCCGCCCTGCACATGTACCTCCGTGGAAGCCCCATAAAATTCTATGTATAATTGATATCACCTCCCCTCCTTAAAGATGTTTTCCCTCTCTCCTCAATGTCACCCTCGAAAAAGCACTTCTCACCTCAAGTTCGAACCATGATTTGATCGATCGTGATTGGAGTTCTGCGTATATATTTTTTATTGTCGTGCAAGCTGGCTGACTTTGTTGAGCCAGAATACCAACTCACAAAAGGAACTATTGGAAAAACTTACCACTATGCAATAAAGCACTTGTATTAGCTTTTGATCCCGTTTGCTTTTATGTTAGATGTTGTCCAAAGAAATTGTCCGATTTGTTACTCCCACATCTGTTCTGTGTATTGCTGGACTGCTAGGTTGAGTTTGTACTTCTCTCTTACAAAGTGATATCAAAATGGATGAGTGCAGGTAAACATCAGAAATACCTCAGTCCATAACTCCAGCTTTACCATGCACTAACCTGCATATGCAGGTTGGCTTTCCAACCCTGGACTGTCCAGTATATCGTAGCGGCTTTCGAATGATTTGAAAATCTGGTAATAGTACACCCAGGCTTTCAAATCATTCGAAAGCCGCTGTCATCAAAATGATGACGAATGATTTGACAAAGGTTCTGCATGAAAAAAATATGTCAATAGAAGAAGAGCGAGAGTGCCATGTGTTTTTTTATTTGTCTCTCACACAACAGCTTGACATGAAATTGACAAATGGCTCCCCTTTTCATGTAACACCACATAAAACTTTCTCCACACTGAAAATCAAAATAATAGATCAAAGATCACGGCCTAGAAAATAAGATCAAATGTGCTGGAAGGAAAATGAAAAAAACAACAACATGTTTTTGTGTCTGTAGAAATACTGCACAATGCCCATACACCCTTCAACATGCTGTGAGTTAAAGACATCAGTTATATACATGAACGGCCATGGACAACAGCTTAACATCTCATCTTATGAAGGACTCCGGGATCCGGCCCTTTACAGTAGTGTGCAGGTTGGGTGAGCGACAACAGCTGGGATTCGAACTCCCAATCTTTAGGTCCAAAACCAGGGTTGCTAACTGCTGGACTAGATACACTCAGTGCCTGTAGACAAGTTTACAGATGATATTTTCTGTGTTAGACAGCTGTACCTTGAAGTACTTCTGTTGTACTCATACTGTATGAATTTCTATTCATAGGGGACAGAGGGCATTGCTGTCCATACATGATATTGTCCACCTACATGTATACAAATAATCAACGGTCCCTTATTTTGACATAGCAGGAATTTCCAGTATCCAAACTGAGAATTTATTTAGTAATTATTAAGTATATGTATTTAGTTTTGAAACTAGAAGTATTCTTTTGCTCATTCTTACCAAATAAACCTTCTCAAACCCTCATTTATTCATTCTTTCTTTCTTTCATAAACCCTCCATTTTGTTCCCTCCCCAGATACATGAAGTACCTCTACCCTTACGAATGTGAGACCAAGAAGTTGAGTTCCCCGCTGGAGCTCCAGGCGGCGATCGACGGGAACCGGCGGGAGAGCCGGCGTGCCAGCTTCTCGTACCAGTATGGCTCGGCGCCCACCATGATCCCCCCACAGGCCAGACTCCTCGCCACCGGCAACGGGACACCGCACAGCGCTTCTGGTACGTCTTCTCTCACACTCACAAGTTTACTGGCAAAGACACAAGAAATCTTAGATTCCAAACCTTTGGGAAGCATAATGCTTTATATTCACAATAACTGCTGACTTTCCCTTTATTTTTTGGTACCACCAATGAATAGCTAGAGCCAGCCTACAATTAAAACAAGCAACAGTTTTCCATCAGCTATATCACAGTTTTGCCTCATAGATATCAGTATGTTACATGTTTGTACATGTATGGGATAGGTTTGATTCAATTTGCCTCATAAAAAAAGTGACATCTGACTTAGAAAATCCAGTTTTACTGCCCTAAAATCGCTTTGGATTCCTAAGACAGCCACTTTTCCTTCAAGAGAAGCACAGACAACTCAGTGACCTCTCCTTTACCTGTCCACAGATGACGAGGTGGCAGTGATCTCCCCACACCACCACCATCACCTGGGCAGCCCTGTGTCCGCGCTCGCCAGCCTGGCCAATCACACGTCAGCGCTGGAGCAGCTCAGAAGAGAAGCCCTCGCCGACGGTGAACCCCAGGCCAAGAGACTGGCAGCCGCCATTGAGAGAGCAACAGGTGGGATAAACATTTGTTGTTGTTGTGTCCTCCGTTTTTTTTTGGGGGGGGGGGGTCTTGGGAGGTCTCTTTGATACGTTCCGTGAGTAGCTTGATGGTTAGAGTTGGTAGAACCCCTCACGACCATGCAAAATTCTCAGTTGCCATGGAGAGAGTAACAGGTGGGCATAAACAAGCTGTCTTGGTTTTCTTTTTTTTGGGGGGGGGAGGACAAGTTTTAAGTGAGGATTCTAAGATTTAGGCCGTGTTTAAGTAAAGTCATCCAAGGCGCGATTCAGGTAAATCACATTCCTCACATCTGGTGAAGCCGTGTCCGATCACAATTCGCTTGAGCTACATTTATTGTTGTTTGATGAAAACACGCAAGGTAGCGTGTTATTAATGTCAGAGGTCAACGACCTGCTTGCTGATGCCCCCCTCCCAGCGTATCTCGGCCGAATGCCGACGTGGTCCGGCCAGAGGCGGTGAAGCTCGCCCTAGAATGGACACTTATTTAAGCATTACTGGTCTTTAAGTTGCTGCCACGTAAAATTTGGTATTGCATATTAATTAAAAAATATCACCCCGTAATCCATGACCAGGCGAAGTTAAATCACATTGCGTTCAGATGCAAATCGCGATGCAGGAAAACCGATTGGAAACCACCTCTAGAAGTGGCTTGGGATCGAGGCACTTTCAATGTGATTTGGAGCGTTCAGATGGAGCCACTTGAAACCGGCTCCGGGTAAACCACATGTAAAGCTCCTTGGGTGACTTCAATTAAACACGGCCTTAGAGGAGACATATACTGGCAGGCTTGGTGTCAATACACTGGTGGAAGTTGTGTCCTCTTCGTTATTTCTTCTTCCTTTTTGGTAAGAGGAGTCAGATGACACAAATGGTTTACCTACCTGTGTAAGAGATGTAGTTGACTTGGTATATCACTCCTCTATGGTTGAATTGCATGTAACATATATATGAGCATGCTGCAGTACGTTTAGGACAAATGCTGTGCATTTCTTCAGTCATAATTTGAAAAACATGTGTATAGGATAGTAGAAATACCAATGATATTCCTTCATCTCTTTATGACATTTCCTCTGAATTTCTCCTGAATTTCTGTACCTGTCCTGAAGAATATACTTGGCACTTCATCCCTTCACGTTGTAACCCCTACAGACTATATGTTTGCTGCAGAGAGAGCAGAGCAGCAGCAGCAGCAGCAGCAACGGGAGCGGGTACAGCAGGAGCTGCAGCAACGCGAACGGGAACAGCGCGAACGGGAACAGCACCACCACCACCTCCAGCAGAGGATAGCTGTCCCCCAGCTGCCCGCTGCTAACATCAAGATAGGGTCACTAGGTGGGTCTTGAAAAGTCTCATATCAGTCACATGGATGGGTAACTTCAGAGGGTGGGTCAGTGGGTGAGTTGGGTGAGTTGGTTGGTTGGTTGGTTGGTTGGTTGGTTGGTTGGTTGAGTTGAGGGTCACTATGCATTCCTTAGCTAGCTTATCTATAATCACATAGGTTAGCGGGACTGTATGTCACATTGAAAACATGCACTGCTGAGCACTGTCCTTGGTGCTGAACTCACTATCTGAAATATGACTTCCATTATTTTTTCTTACAGAATAATAATAATATTTGAATATTGTGAATTGTGATGATAAGTAAAAAAAAAATTGTGATATATTTTTCTGCTTCTCTCCTTCTCCCAGATAATTCTGACAACAAAAGTCTGATACTGGACATGTCCAGCAGTAACGCCATTGGTGTGAGCATCGAACTGAACGGCGTGCTGTACCAGGGCGTGCTGTACGCCAGAAACGCTGTCCCCACGCTCTCCCCACACGAGCCCGGGCCGCAGAGCGCTGCCAGCATCCCCCGCTCCAATGCGGTGTGAGACCCACTTTGGTGGGAGACCCTACCTTGCACTGCCCCTTTACTGTGCAGGCTGTGGCAGAGGTTTGTGACCCTCCGAAAAAATTTAAAAATATTGTTATCTGGAATGTGTATAGTTTAAAGAAAGTAGATTCTGTCATTATAGTTCCAGTATAAATCTATCCACAATGTCATTATTTGTAATATTTGATATTACAAAGGAATTGTTGTCTTTCCCTTTTTTTAAGGTGGCGTACATGTATGTACAGGAAAGGGACAACTTTCAGTATACTACATGTCCATAAGTATGTCAATAAACTCAATACCATGGCCCAGAAACAAAGTTGATCAAAGTGCTTACATGTGTGTAAGATAAATTTCTAAAAAGAGCCAAACTGTTGCCACATCCTGCACACTCATGCCAAAACCAAAGCAATCTCCATTGTACCTGACTCCACATGTTCCCAGTGTAGAGGAAACAGGGACCACAGTTGGTCTCTGAGTAGACATGCCAATACAATTCCAGTCATCCTTTTTTTTCCCTATACTTACCAGATCTGAAAAGTTGATATACAACGTGAAAACATTTTTTAGCTTTGTTAGTGTGTATACTCTGTACATCTATGTCCCAAGTATACTTAATTTACTTTAGATCATGTATTTCAGCCACATTTAACCTGTTTGTTTTAGATGTAAGGAATTGTACTGACATGGTTTAACGGTGTATTTTGTACCATTAAAACTGTACACAGTGTCCTCCAACTTGTAAATGTGACTCCTCAAAAAAAAAAGTGCTCTTCATATGACCCTGTGTTAAAGTCCCGGTGTAAATGTTAGCAGTGTAGGTGTACATTCCTCCAGCTTGTTGGCAGAGCATACTGTGCCTGCTTGAAACCTGCATTGGTCGAAGGTCTCATTTAAGGTTGTATTTGCATATTCACGGACAATGTCCCATCTATACTTTTCAAATGTTGTGTGGGAAAAAAATTTCATCTGCAACAGGCAATATTCTGATGACCAATATTCAATGTTGACCAAACATCCAAGGAAAACCATGAAAAATCCGGGTTACATGCAGGCGCTGTATGTTCTTTCGGCATGCTCATTGCTCCACATTCCTGTTGTGTGACTGGGGAGCATTCATGCAGCTGTAGGGTACAGGAATTAATGACTACTGAGCACCAGATAGTTGTCTGCAACAGTGTTTATAGACAGGAAATGGTGCAAGGATTGACAATTGTAGAGTGACATTATCTTTTGGAAACGAAACAGAGAAACACACATGAACATTGATACAGTATATACACACATACATACATACATACATACACACACGAACACACACAAATGCACAAAAACATGTGAGACAACTAGCATAGCACACTATCTGTTTCAATGTCTTCCTGTTACAAAGACACTGGCATACATGTACATGAACACTGCACTCAGCCAAAACGTTGCTCAGAAAGGCCCCCTGTTGGAAGCAAGTGGTATTGCAGAACCTATACCAACCTGCTGCAAAACTGATAAATATTATAGTTTACAAGTTTGCTGTAGAATATCAGTATGTGGTATCAAGTACATTTTATACATATTTTTGTTTCATATGTTAACCAGCACATGAGTTATAATCATTTCCTGCGATATGTAATATGTATCTAGAGAAGGTTTGATCATGTAATGATCATAGAATTGTTCTAGTTTTGCTGTCAACAGCTGGCAGATATTGTGCACATAAGGTATATTGGGTATTTTATCAATTTAGTGGGTGTACTTCCTTGTCCATTCCAAGGACAAGGTTGATTGAATTCTTATGATTGACAATCATGTTAAGAAATGTGTGCCGACACAATGATTCTGAAATAACAATGTGCAGTACTAGTACTGGTGTTGGGAATAGATCATTCCAATAGTTGAACTATTTTTCTCTCTTTTTAAAGACAACTCAAGTCAGGGAATAATGTTTGTAGTTATCTTGGATTTTCTCTTCTTTTCTTGCACTTCTTTCACAGCTGTTTCCCAGTCCCAAGTATATTTTAAAATCAAAAGTTTCAAAACTGAACCAAGACCACCCTTAAGTACCTTGGCAGACATCAGAATGAGACATTATTATTTCAAACTTGGTCTGTTTAATTCTAATGCTATCATTTGGTACAAACTACAATGTAGGTCCTGTACCTTCTTTCTTAGTACTTTTATGTACAATGTAAGTGGGAAATCAGATTATGTATAACTATGCACATTTAATGCACAGTTTGTTCCACTATTGTTGCAGGAAGATTTTGTAGTGCTTTTTTTTTTCTTTATCATACGAGACCTTCATATATATGTAGCTACTTGTTGACACAGTTGTATATGTGTTTTTAGTTTGTTGCCATGACAACATATATACCCTGATGTTGTCCTTACATGTAACGTTACATCTGCCACAGAAATGCACCCTGTGGGTACAGTCAAACCTGGCTGTAGTGACCACTCAAGAAAATGTAATCAGTAGACAGGTGACCACTAGAGACGGTTCAGAATTCCTGGGTCCATCTAAAAAAGAATTATGGAAGGGCTCACCAAATGTGGCCACAATGGCCAGGTGGGCCCTTATATGCGTATGCAGGCATGACTGTATAGTCTTATTCTCTAGAAAATGTAACAGATATAGGTATGATATTCAAGCTGCTGCTTTCAGAATGTTTCTCTTTTTTGGATACTTGCTTTAGCTTAAACTGTAGCTTTTGTGTTGTACAGTGTGGTTGGCCTTGAAAAGGTGTAAAGTACATCTTTTTATAGCGTGAGAACTTCTCCCAAATCTGTTTTGTATATCACGTTACACTTGTCTGTGTTTCTAGACAACAGGAAAAAAAAAGAAAGAAAATACCTCAGAGGACATATTAATAAAGGAAGGTATTGAGTCTGCTAAATAGCTAGAGGACTTTTTTTGGCGCCGCCTCAGGGGCGTAGCGTTTTCTTGCTGTGCGTGTAGATAGGTCTGTGTAATTGTATCCAGGAGTGCAGCTTTGTAGATGGCCTATGCGAGTCGGTGCGTAGTGTCCTGGTGCATTGTGGGAGCGGTATCTGTATATTTTGGTTACGGTAACAAGTGGAGTCCGAATCCTTGTATTTTTACTCAATAAAACAGAGGAGGATATGTATCCAGAATGGTGAGACTGTCTTTTGTGTCATATCACCACCAACACACAAACACACACAGTGGGGTGGCTGAGTTTATTTTTGTGGGAGAAGCACTAGATACTTTATTTTCTAACAAACTTTATTGACACAAACGTACAATTGACTATTAAGGTCTAGAACTATGTTGGCATACTTCAGTCTCAAGAGACTATGGAAGTATAGAAGTATATATACAGAAAAATGTGGATACAAATGAATTAACTTGCATACAAGTATATTGTATATTGAATAAATCAACATGTAGAGCTTGTATTCTACTAGTTCTAAAGTCTAAACATTCTTTGATATACTAGTACATATTTACCTGTGCACAGTAAGGGTTATCTCATAGATAATAATTTACTCTATCTATAGCATGAAATACAACAAATTTTGTTGAGCAAGTGGAAAGAAAGTTGAACAAATTTGAGCGTTTTATAAAAAATGTTCTGTTCAGAACTGTCCTTGGTGCTGAACTCACTATCAAAACGTTTCGTGCCTCAGTGTTTCAGTACCAAGGACAGACCCGGTACAGAACAAAAATAACCAGAAAAATCACCCCGAGAGAGAAAAAACTTTGTTAAGGCATCTATATTCGTGCTGTAAAATGTAGAAACTTTAGTTTAGGTGGTTAGAAATCACTGCATGATTCAGATCTTTGTACACAGCCAAGGCTTTATACCTACCGACTGTCATCTTCCTCAGCTCAGGGTACTACTAACCGGTTCTGCTGTAGTTCACACGACCGCTAGGTGTCGCTGCTGCAGTGTGTAGAAAGCGGTCCCAAGTTAACGTCACGCGTCATCTAATAGGGCCGCATTCTTCACTCTACATCATGCAGGTGCATCTGCGTCTTACAGCCATGTGAAATGGATCCAGTAAGATGCTAGAGTTTTTTTATACAAATAAATCTTATGAGCTATCTGTGTAGTAGCTATAAGGGCTGGAAAATAAGTGATAGGAGTTACAAGACTTTCAACACGGAACATCTGGGTGACGTAAAATTACGCAATAGTAGTCGTCTCTTCCGTAAGTTATCATAGTTCATGGACGCCCCCTAACAAAACGCTAATAAAATGCAGATAGAATGGTTCATTCCAAGCAGCTTCACAAAAGAAGCAGTGGTGATGCATATATCCTGGATATTTGATATGTATTATAGACATTCCCTCTGCCTTCCAAACATTTGTTTCAATTCTCCTGGCCTGACCCAGTATTAGTGCTCAAATCTTTCGAAGTTAAAAAATGTCGAACGATATTCAAAGTGTACTAGTATTCAAACTGCGGTATGACTACACTCTGATTATCCCTACAGCATTCGATACTTCTGGCTATTCAAAGTGAATACTTAAAAATTCAGCGTGGATTTTAAATATTCAGACCAATTTTGGCTCTCCTTTGCATACGATCAGAATGAACTTCGAATATACAGTAACATACAAATAATTTTCATTCAGACGTTATTCCGGCTCAATTCCGCCTGTAGAGGGAGTGGGTTATCATTTATGGTTATAACTATCAACACTAGATATCAAAAAGCAGTATGCTATCACACACAAAAATGTTATAGTAATATAAAACAGTCCCCTGTGGAGCCTGCAAGAGAGGCTACGTATTGGTCACTCCAAGGAGAGCTTCGATATGGCGAAATGTTCCTCCTGTGTACGTGGAGAGAAATCGCGGCAAAATGAGGCTCCGATATGGATGCCTTATGGCTCGCACGGACCATTAACACTGTCAGAAGCAATCGAACGGACCGGGTGGGCCGGGTGGACGGGCATGGTCAGCATACCAAGGACGGGCACCGGGAACTATAGGGATAACACAGGGTGATAGCGGACTTACAATCTTGGAAGCGATAGCATGTCATGGATAAATGAAGGAAGAAGGGAAGGACGAAAGAATGAAGAAAGACAAGAAGGATCTATAGGAAAGAAAGGAAGGAGGTCAGGGATAATGGATTGATCAATTGTGAATTATTAAACGAATGCATGAATGAATCGATCAACGTCTTTAATAAGTAATTGAATGAATGCATGAGTGTATGAATGAATGAATGGACGGACTATAGCGTCCTATATCTAGTGACTGGGGGACTAGATAAACCAAGTGCTGGATTAACTTAATGAAGGAACGAACCAATGAATAAGCAAAACATATACGAACAAATTGATGAATCGACGAATGAACGGACGAACGAATATCAAAAGAAATTATTTGAATTGTGAAACTCTGATGTACCGACATGCTCTAACATACACATCGTCGAGGTACATTTGGTAGTTATAAACCATGGCACACCGCGTGCCCACTCCTGGAAGTGTGTAGGCGATATTGAAGTCGGGACAACTCGACTGTGTCTAATGTGGACAAATCGAACATAAAACAATTTCCTTGTGTCAAACGTCCCAGCACATCGGCCCCGGCTCTTCTCAGGGGATCGTTCTGTCATCTCCAAACGGTAGCTCTCCTGTTTACCGGGTCAATATGCAGCGTGCTCCAATAAACTACTGTGTCGATTGGGAGAGTGGCGCGTGTAGCTGTGGGACTCAGGCCAATACCAAAACTTAAATCATTTAGTACGCTTCCGGGGAACAAATAAGGGAGTAAGGCCATAATTAGAAATAAATTGTTCTCAAACTCGATAGAATTTGACTGAAAGAACTTTTCCACCGAATCTCTCGCTCTTCATTATCTGGCCAAAGTGACACGTGATTCAGTTTTCGCACGCGTGACGTCAGCACTGAGCCAAACGTCTTCGGAAGTCGGTACCGCCCGCCGTATTGGTTACGAGACAGTTGGATGCCCTCTTCTCTCACATATGATCGTGTTCAGTGCTAGTGAAGGGCATCAGGACACACCACTGCCTTCTGTCAACCGGGACGGCTGGCGGCACCGACTTCCGACGAACCTTTTTTTTATTCATCAAAACATGAAAACATACTAGTAACAAGAACAGTGTGGCGCTGCACTCAAGTTTACAACTTATATTAACAGCGCCACACAACAAAAAAGTACAATTAACATTTAAATATACAAAGTTGACATATCTGTGCGCCGTAGTCCCACCACCCCAAGACATTAAAATGTTAAATCAAATTTTAACCGACGAACTTTGACTCATAGCCTGTGTATACACAAGCTCTCGGCTGGAGGTTAATGACCCCCACCGGGGCGGCGGCCGCCAGGAGCGCGATTTAGTCAGGCTATTTGACTCAGAACTCAGATGAACTTTCATGCTGCGGGAGGAAGAAATTAGATATGCACGTATTCATGTCTGACGATCATAAACCGCACCGAAAAAGCTTTGCCAGTATTGAATCTACCCAAATATGGAAAATAAATAGGTTTTGATTTCCCACGTTAATAAGCTATGGCCTAAATATCTCTTAAGAAACGGTTAGAATTTTACGTAGATCAGCAAAATTTGATTAACCTACTTTTTGGTTTGGTTAACGAGTTTGCCGTTTGGTTAACGAGACGTTAAATAAACGTTGATATTTGAAGCTTATTCAATTACCACATGTACAGAAATTAGTTTAAACAAACGCCGTTTTGCTTCTAGATACTGTTCAGGCCCCTTTTTCCAGGACAGCGAAAGGAAAGACGACAGAATAGAATTTTTTTTTTAATTTAAAGCCTGACACGAAAAAATGTCTATAAAAGCTGGAGAAAAAGCCCAGAAATCGGCCCAAACTCTGCTTGAGGAGTACTTCTAGATTTATCGCTATCTATCTCTCAACCCGTCGTGCACATAGTTTTGCTACTCTGTATTCTCCTCAGTGCTGTTGCCGCCGCCTACATGCATGTACCGTGATTTGTGAGCGCGTGGTGCGGTCCGGGGTGGCCACATCTCGCCTTTGCGTCACCGGGTCGCGCATGTTGACGTTCAGCGGCTCCAACAAAGCTTCCAAAAAGCACTCGGGACGATATCTTAAGGCCTCAGGGAGCCGGAATTCCTGAGAGCGCCTAAATCATCGGTTTCACTGGAGAGGCCGCACGCGGGATGGGGCCAAGAATCTAATCTCCAAGCAGATGTTGGGGTAGCCGCTGTGTACCATCCGATTTACTACGGGGCTACTTGCACTCCCTGGCCGAATTTTTGCATTACTGGTATCTTTATTCAGATTGATGTTAAAACACTATAGAGAAGACACTTTTAAAACCTTTTCTACGTCGTAGTATGTAGTTTGAAAAGACGGATAGCATGCCAGGGGAGTTAGTCCGCTAAAGGATTACACTCAGAGCTGCATTCTGTACTCCTTTAGCGGACCAACTTCCCTGGCATGCTGTCTATTTTGTCAATCTATACCCTTTCTAGCCCCCTTCCGAAGCCTGAAAGATGCTACTATTTTCGAGCAACCCAGTGGGTTCTAGCAGAGACTACCAAATCTCCAGACCTTACGTGTCTGTTCTTACATGTATATACCGTTGACGCTTGTGTGTTGGTTAAAATCCGACATGGCCACTTCCCCACTGATTAACACGTTCCAGCCGGGTCGTATGTAATCCCAGATTTCGCTGTTTGTTTGGAAGAAAAACACCACTATATATGTTATGAAGAGCGCTGAGACGCCGAGACAGGGTGTTAATGTATTAAGCCGGGTTAAGTCTGCCCTGCCATGCAGACGTCACACGGCTGTGTTATGCCGTCCGCACCAGACGCCTTCGGGCGCTGAAGAAACAAGGTCCCGATTTGTGCAGATCATAGGGGTGGTACCCATCTCCATTTCTGTAGCCCTTGGGCCACACAATTGTGCAATTAGTATACATCAGGGGGCTAGTCCGCTAGTAGCGTTGTGTGTTTGTTTGTTTGTTTGTTTGTTTGTTTGTTTATTCAGGAATCTCCATTAGTGAATAATATGTACATCACTATTCTTCCTGGAGTCCTACACAACATAGAAATACAACTATTATTTACATTTACTTCAGCTGCTATCATTGACATTATGCTTCGGGAAAACTTATCTTAACAACAATTTTAAACA